GGCCTCCTCCTCTGGCCGCCCGCGGCGACCCTCTGACCCGCGGACCCCGTCCGGCGGCACTGCGCGCGCCGAGGGTCGGGGTGGGCGCCTGTCCGGGCCCTGGGCGTCCCGCCGGGAAGGGCTGCGTGTTTCCGGGGAGATAGAGCCGCCGCTTTCCACCCCTGTCCGACTGGTAGTTTTTAAATGGACTGGCTTTTCAGATTAAAAAGACGTCTCCTAAGATTCCAGTGATGTTAACAGCAGAGGTTGATTTCACCGGAAGCGCAAGACGTTTTTAATATACACAGACAAAATGCTGACTTCTGAACCTTGCCTTGCTCCCAGCTGATCTGATTTGTGGGTGTATTTTCTAAACCATTCCCCAGGGTTTTTTGTTTTTTTTTTTTTTTCAGATTATCTACCGTAACTGTCAAAGGTATAATTGAAGCTAATAAACCTTTTTCACTCTGGAAGCTCCAATAGAGTATATCTTAAATAATTGAAATAGTAAATAGTAGTAGAGTATAGAAGTCCTGGAACTTTGCCCTATCGACCGTGTCATCAAACCAGTTTTCGTCCTTGGTAACTTTCCTTTTGCAGAAATGAAAAGTGATCGAAGATGTAATCGCTAGTAATATATTTGTTGAGTGCCTGATTATACTGTACTTTAGCCAGATGTTGTAAAGCTGTATATAGCCAGCACGGGGTGGGTGTGCTGAGTCATGTTTTAAGCATGGGAGTATATGGGGCCATTGGAAGATAATTTCAAAAGACATTTTTCCTGATTGCTATTGCGGATCCATGATTTCATAGCAGATATCTTAAGTGATAAGTGTGTTTCATATTATCTCCTGGGTTCATTGGAATATTTAGTAATAGTTTCCAATTACAGCTACTAAAACAGCAAGATTACACCAATAAACGGGGTTTTATTAGATATTTGAGTGTATTGTCTCCAGAATGGAATGCAACTAGTAAATATATTCCTTATTTGTTAAAAGGGAGCCATTGTTTATTTCCAGTAAACTGATCAATGTCTATGTAAAATCCGTACCTCAAAATGAGATAGTAAAATTATATAACTTTTTAATATACAAAAGATGGGTGAAATTTAGGCCCTTTACCTAATTATATATGTTGCTAACCTTGCCTAGAATAGTTGCAGTCTTTAATGCATTGTAACGTCCCCAGTCCTGTGTCCTGCTGCTTGTCCTAACTTAAGGTGATGGTGTTACCTAGATTACATCTTGATCTGATGTTATGTAGGTTTAAGGGACAATAGTGGAACTAGTTGTTATGCTGTATTCACATGCCTCACTTTTATTATGACATGGAGCTTAAACATTTTTAATACCTTTAATGATTGTCAAGGCTGCATGTAGATGAAATTTTAGATCATGGAAATGTTACATAGTAACAACAGTTGTTTCCATTCCTGCTGTTCTGACCTTGAAGGAAACAATAAATGTTACTATTTTTCTGTTGTATTTTATTACTTTTCTTTATTTTAAAGTACTTAAAAATGATAAACTGTCTTAGCCACTTTCTCACTGCTGTAGCACAGCAACAAATACTTACAACTTAAAGAAGTGTGTCTTGGTTCCCGGACACAGTCCCTGGCTGGCTGGCTCTGAAGCAGAGACAGTGTGGTGGAAGGGCCTGGGCGGCCGGGCGCTGCTCAAGTCATGGTGGCCAGGAAGCAGAGGGAGCAGGCAGAGCTGGGCAAGTGGGTGTGTCCTGCCAGGCCTGCCCTGCCCTGCCCTGCCTCTTCCAGCCAGACTCCACAGGGTGACAATCAG